GTTCTTTCTGTGACAGAGGGGTGTTCTGCTGATAGTGAGTCTGTTCAGTGTTTCTACTGAGTTGGAGATGGTTCATGTTAAACTTTTCAGAGATTATAGATCTGCAGGTCGTACGCATAGACCGTATAAATGACTGGACATATATTCTAGCCTCTTAGTTTTTTGGCGGTGAATTACTTCGCGGCGCATAGATCTACATCAGTGTATCAGTGTTTTCAGGCGTCCACACAGAGCTAGATCAGATCCGTACTCAGATGAATTCGTGGGAGCTGGCAGCACCAGATCGTTCCGTCTCTGGAGCCGTTTTCAATCAGATTAGTGTGGACGAACACTGCATTTGCAACAAAAACAACTCAAATACATACTAGTGTGGACCGGGTCTAAAACGATTTAATAAAAGAAATAATTCCGCTGAGTTCTGCATTACAAAACTCCATCACCTTCACTTCGCCGCACTGGAATTCCCAAGCTCTACTGAACAAAAAGTAAAAGGTACTATCGCTTCAAGACATCACAAGATGGAACAGAGAAATTTGTGTTCTGGAGATGCAGAAAGATTAATAATAAAGGGTTACTCAAGCGTGAAACAAAAACAACTCCAGGTATTCTAACATGGCTTAAAGGTTACAAGAATCCTGCCGCTGGAGGTGAAAACGAGGGCTGATCTGCAAAATGACATCTTGAAAATAAGCGATTAAAGATTGCTCAAACATGCATGAATTACTCCAAATACAACTTAAGGTGAGTCAATGGTGAGGGGAAACTACTATGACATGATTAAAGGATCTGAAAAGTTTATTTTGCATAATAGGTCTGCTTTAAACACTACTTGAAGAAAGACACTAAGACACTTTCACTTTTAGTTAGCGTTATAATCCAAACTGAGCCGCTTCAGCCTCTTCTCACGTGTTGAATGACTCTCACTTGAGTTCAGCTCTCCCATAGAGAGATAGAATCAAATTATTGTGATAGATGTTTCTGGCAGTCGTCTTCTGTGTTGTCTCGTGCTTGTTCGGACACGCCTCGGATCAAGATAATCAACAAAACTTGACTACGATTTAACCTCTGATGAACTTTCTCCAAACTGTAAACACAGACTCACCGATCCCACTGGTTTAATGTAATCCCAGTGCGTAATGTAGTAAAGGTTTGTGCAGTGATTCACACGATTTTGAGACCACCATAAGAATATACACTGCAAATTTCTCTGCTCTGGCAAAGATTTTAAAACTTATATATTGTTATTCACCTTGTTTTCAGATTTATGATCTACTTACTAGTTCGGAATTAGATTAATTATAGTCTAGAGCTAGTTCATTTTAAGATAACTTGTCAAGTAAAATTATTTTGCTGCATGGACAGAGTCATTTTCTGATAGATTTAAGCGTTTATATCTTAAATTTTGGCCAAGCATTTCTCTAAAGAAGTTAAAATGACTTAAAGGTTTTACTTGATTTGAGTGGATTCAACTTGACAAGTGAAATTTATTTACTCAAATCAAGATAAAACTTTTTTAATTTAAGTAACACCTTCTGAATATACCACCATGTACCACACTGGAAAAAGTAATACCTAGGCAAGTTAAAATTACTTAAATTAATTACTTTATTTGAGTAGATTCAACTTGAAAATTTAAATTACCTACCAATGGAATAAGTATGTTTTCTTAATTCAAGCAACATTAGATTTTGTTGTTGTGATTCTTGTTGATGTGTTTTTATATTTTAAGTACAAAAAGTCTTCTATTGGTCAATAATTTTACTTGTCAAGTGAAATGTACTCAAATCATGCTAACACTTTCTTAATTCAAGTAACACAATATTTAGACTCCACTGCAAAAATTATCTAGGCAAGTTAAAATTACTTAAATAAATTATTTTATTTGAGTAGATTCAACTTGACAAGTAAAATTATCTACCAGTGGAATAAGTGTGCTTAAGTGTGTTTTTCTTATCATAAGTGTAGCAGATGTTCTTTCATATTTTAAGTACAAAAAGTCTTCAATTGGCCAATCTCGATAAAACTTTCTTAATTCAAGTAACACAATATTTAGACCTCCTTCTAAATATACCACCAGGCACCACACTGCAAAGAGAAATATCTAGGCAAGTTAAAATGTCTTAAATTCATGACTTTATTTGAGTACATTCAACATCACAAGTCAAATTATTTACCATTGTGTGCTTTTTTATGACATTTTTTCATGTTTTTCATGTTTTGCTTATTATTTTAAGTGCAAAGAGTTGTCTTTTCTTATCTTAAGTGTAATAAAGATGTATTTTCATATTTTAAGTCCAAAAAGTCTTTTTCCATTGGTAGAACACTTCACTTGTCGAGTTAAATTTACTGAAATCATGATAAAACCTTGGTAACTTGGGAAGATTTGAGTTTTTGCAGTGCACTTACATAAACATCTAAACCTGGATTAAATCAGATCTATACAAGGACTATCTTAGACTTAGATATAAAACCTAGAGCAGCACTAATATTATGATCCGATAATGATAATGTACATGTCTTTATAAGGCTTTATCCATTCTCTTCCCATACTCACTTAGTGTCACTTACGTCTAGGGTTTCTGAAGCTCGCTGGAACAAGTATCAAAATAAGACAAAATGATTATACTGAACGTGCACTATTCAACTTTTTAGGGGTCCGTCATCTGCTTGTTTCTATGGATATGTTATTGTTCTATCTTGAATGTTTCACAGTATGACATTAAACAGCTCTACCTTACATTTATTCAGTCACAAATGGATTTATAGCTCAAAAATACCTAGAAAAACAGGCTTTCTAACTGTGAGCGGGGTCACCTCTCCACAGATCTGGTGCACTGTGTAACTTCTCTAGTGGATTGTCTGTCAAATGCTTTTCTCCATGGAGATGTTATAGTTTTATCTGGAGTGTTTCACAGTATGGCATTAAACCTTTCTATCATCATGAAGACCAAACCAGACCAAGTTACAGGTCAGATCTGTGGAGAGGCGACCCAGCTAACAGTCAGAATGCCTGTTTTTCTAGGTATTTATGAGCTGTAAAACCACCTGTAATTGAATAAATGTAAAGTAAAGCTGTTTAAAGACATACTGTGGAACATTCCAGGCAGAGCAATGATATCTCCATAAAAACAAGCAGGTGACGGACCCCCCCAACCAAAAAGTTACATAGTGGTTTAAATTAATTGATTAAATTGTAGATTATGTCACTCAGAATCCTTGCAAAAGTTTCCTATCATCCTCTCTTTTCTCTTTCCTCACTTTCTTCTCCTTGATTCCTCTCTTCGATCCGCCGTTTTACAGCTGTCAATCAAATGTGTTATATGAAGGGAGGAGTAAACCTGAGGGAGGTTTCAGGAGCAGACATCAGCTAAAAGAATCAAACTTTATTGGTCTAGGTGAGGAGTTTATATCCAGGATCGAGGAGAAAAAAGCGAGGAAAGAGAAATGAGACGCGGTCATTGTTCTCCCAGTGACCCCTATTTCACACGTGGATACGTTGTCGACAGCAGCTTTCTCAAACCTGATAAGATACTGTCTTATGAAGAAAAATACAGTTATTTTCTGATTTAAAACATGTCACAAAACAGTAATGACTACAGAATACTTTATATGGGCAATTAGCATGGCGTCTCTCACAATCTAATCTGAATTTGTTTTCTAAGACACCCTGGGGACGCCCTGAAAATCTGTCAGTCACTCATTCAGTACTTTCAGCTCCATAATCTGGTATTCATCCTACATCTTACATGAGTAACTACAGCACAAAGGCAGAGAAAAGACCAAAACAAAATAGTGGAACTTTACAAAGGCCACAGAAGCAGCCCTCTGATCCTGTCATAATTAAAATGGCTCAGTAGGTGTGTGACATGACGAACTGTAATTGACTCATTATGACGGCTTCCTCTGACAGGTGACTTTACGATGACGGATAACCCGCGCACTCACACCCGGGCTGCCCTCGTTCTGCTCTGAATCATCCAGAGAAAACAGGTGTCACGGTGAAAAATATGTCAAAATTGGATCGCAGGTTGAGTTGGTACAATTAACAAATAACAAAGACTGCAGTTATCACAGGGACAGGTGTCTTTTTATGGAAATATTCTTGTACCTGTAGACCTTATGTAACAGGTATTACTCCCTATAACTGTACAACAACTCACCCTTATGGAACAGATAATACTCCCTACTGTACAACAACTCAGCCTTTATGTAACAGATAATACTCCCTACAACTGTACAACAACTCACTCTTATGTAACAGATAATATTCCCTACAACTGTACAACAAGTCACCCTTATGCAACAGTTAATACTCCCTACAACTGTACAACAACTCACCCTTTTGGAACAGATAATACTCCCTACAACTGTACAACAACTCACCCTTTTGGAACAGATAATACTCCCTACAACTGTACAACAACTCACCCTTTTGGAACAGATAATACTCTCTACAACTGCACAACAACCCACCCTTATGGAACAGATAATACTCCCTACAACTGTACAACAACTCACCCTTTTGGAACAGATAATACTCCCTACAACTGTACAACAACACACTCTTATGTAACAGATAATATTTTCAAATTAATCAATTAAAGGTATTGTCTAAAATGTGCGCGATATATGCAATGTACGCAAATTTAGCCTACTTAAAATGTTTTTATTAATGCCAAATAAAATATCCAGCACAAATGATGTATGATAGGCATACATTAATCATTTGTATATTTTACTTTACACTCATATTTAGGTTGCAGGACTGCAGTTTAACATTCCACCTGCCCGCTTCCACATTATGCACTCCTGCGCCCGTAATGCGCTTTCAAAATGTATCCCGCACCACACTGTTTTGCTTTGGGTCCAGTGGGACCCATGGAAAGCCTGCAGGAGTGCAGGGCTCTAAAAAGCAACACAATGTACATTTAAAGAAAATTCTATGAATGAGTGTGTGTGTGTGTCCAAACTTTAGATGGTTGTGTGTGTGCAGTACTCACTCCAGACAGTGAGGGCGATGGTGCGTTCGAAGTTTCCATTGGGGAAAGTGGAGATGTGGCAGGTGTAAACTCCCTCATCAGACACTTCAGTGCTGGGGATGAGGAGCGCTGAGTTTTCCGTGGGACTGCTGCTCTCAAACCTCACACGGCCTGCGTAACGTCCGAACTCTGCACAGGAGGAAGAGAAGTGTGCATGTTAGCAGCGATGGGACAAGATCACGTTCCACAAGATCTCGTGATGAGTAAAAATTACCACAAGATCAGAGAAAAATTATCTCATGAGATTTTTTTCCATTTAGTTTCCATTTCGACAAAAAAAGACTTAAGGGCTGGTAAGTTACATCTCTTACAAAGCCGTGGTTTTTAAAAAGTAGGTCTGCAATTACAATAAAAATATTGAATACAAAAATGTTAGACCAAAAGAGCAAACAAGATGACACGTTTTTTAAATTATAGTTGTGAAAGTTTCTCTCATTCTTGTGGACCTAATCTCGTGCCTCGTATCAATAATGCACTTTTATTTGTCCATTTTCTTTTTAATGTTAATTTTCTGAAGGTAATCCATACAGGTTTTCTTCTAACTGACAGGGGATTGGCTATAATTTATAAATCTGAAACAAGTTTTGAGTTATTTGGAGTTTAATTTAGTTTGCTTCCTTGCAAGTGTTCATTCATAGTTTTGGAAACTTCACTGAGACTCAAGAAACATAAATGAAAATGTGTGTCCAAACCTGTGACTGGTGGAGTATGTATCACACTGTATTGTTTACATTCAGGACATTATTATTACTGATCAATTGTATTTATTTTAATAAAGACAAAATATGCAGTTCTCTGGGGCTGTTTACCTGTGTGTCCGTCAGTGAAGTGCGCTGTGATCATCTGGTCTTTGGTCCGGTCCGGCAACTCTTTGTACCACGTGACCTGGACCACCTTCTCATCTGGACCCGCCTGGTACCGACAGGGCAGCCTGGTCTGAGAGTCTGAGAGGGAGCGGTGAGATGAACGAGGCTGAGAGGGCTCCACGAACGCGCCACGAGCCAATGATACTGAAGAGGGAAAAATTAAGAGACAGAAGGTTAGGAAAAACAATCAAAATCTCCAACATTATAACAGTAAAGTTTAAGATTTGTATCAGGATTTAAAGATCCAATTGTAACTGAATTATGTAAATGTCGGTTAATGTGCTTGTCTGTTATTCACCAATGACATACTATGCTTTTGTCTGCAGTACAGTGATTCCCAACATTTTTTGTTCCAAGTACCTCTGGAGCTGTATCTGTAATTTGTGTACAGCTTTTTTGGCAAAGAATCAGTTCTTGCCACTTACTTCTATTATCTAATGTTAAAAAAAAAAAGTCATAGTATAGTGGCCATACCGGCTTGTCAAAGTCTCATCTCATCAGATCTCAGAAGCTAAGCAGCCATGCCTGGTTAGTACTTGGATGGGAGACCACTGGGAAAATCAGGAGCCACACTGGAGCTGCCATTGTCAAAAACTGTCATTGTGCCCTTAGGCAAGACACTTCACCCACACTGCCTAGTAAGAAAGTGGAGTGTGTGTGGTCGAAGGGACCAATGGTGCAGATTGATTATTGATACCAGACTAGGGTTGGGCAGTAATACGGTATTACGGTATTACGGTATCCCACGGTAACAAAAAGTGGCAACAGTATCAGTTTCATTACCATCATTTTAAAAATCTGCAACGCAAAAGGACCTAATATAATATTAGAATTTATTGATATCTAAATTTGTTTGCTCAGCACAAATGAATGTGTGGTTGTGTTTTCATTTTAATGTCATTACAATTTAAAACTAATACTGTCTATAATGTTTCTTTTAACTGCGTGGAGAGATGACGTTCAATTAGTTTCGTTCCGTTGTCACTTGATAACTCATAACAGAGACAAAGACAAGATGGCAAGTCAGTTGGTCACCCCCCAAAAAAGTAATTTGGCAGCATTTTGGCTTCTGGCAGAATGACAGGAGAGACGAGTAAATAAACCAACTGACCATACCCATTATGATCTGAGAATACACTGTAGGCTATAGCCTAGGCCATAGCATATATTTTCCTTACTGTATTTGTTATTTATTGTTCTTTTATTATTAGTGTTTTTATTATGAGCCTGTAAGTACTGTTGAGTGTAAGATGCGGTAGGACTGCGTTTTAATTTAGGCTAATTGATTCGTTTTGATTAAGCTGGAAGTGCACTTTAGCCCACCTCGTACAATTTGTTGTTATTTAATTATGTTCTGTACATTTGCACAAATGTTAATAAAAGTTGTTGATGATGTACATGTTTTGTTGATACTTTTCAATATTTTTAGGCAAATATAATGCTTGTTTTTCTGCTTCTGAATGGTATAGGCGCAAGCTACAAAATAATTCTTAATTAGTCAAGATAATACTGTATACCCTGGTAAAATTTGGAATACCACCCAACCTTATATCAGACCAGAAACTCATGTGTGCATATAATTCACTCACATTTCACTGTAATGTGGCTGTATTACGCAAGAATAACATGAAAGAGACGTTTTTATGCACACAAGATAATACATTGTTGACAGAAGAAGTGTACAGTTTTTGGCAGACACTTCACGTAATATTCACTACATTGTTTGCTGTGGATGTCACAACTATAAAGTGAAGAAATAACGATATAATAATAAGTACCATTTGAGATTACACATTCAGCTGTGCATGGTTATTACCAAAAAAGGGTAGAGTAGCCAAAAGGCACCATTACTTAAAAGTCTGACTCATGTTAAATTACAAAAAAGTGAGAAATTAGCCAAGAGCAAAACATCTTCATTGAAAACTATTACTCAAGAAGTTCCCAGAAATTCTGGCTGAAGATGTATAATTAAAAGTTATTTAGGAGAACAAAACTAAGTAATGCACATACAACAGTAACAAAAACAAGACAAACTAAATCATATCTGAAGAAGCGGCACAAAAAAACACAAATGTTTAAATCACTTCATATTGTCAACATGAGAAGAGGAACACAACTTTTACTCAAGTTAAAAGGTGCATTGTGTAACTTTTCTGGTGGGGGTCTGCCAAATGCTCCATGTAGATGTTATTGATTTGTCTGGAATGTTTCACTTTATGGCATTAAACCTTTTTATCTTTACGGAGATTAAACCAGACCAAGTTACAGGTCAGGTCTGTGGAGAGGCGACTCAGAATGTTTTTTTTTCTAGGTATTTTTGAGCTGTAAAACCACCTGTAACTGAATAAATGTAAAGTTGAGCTGTTTAATGTGACACTGTGGAACATTCGAGACAGAGCAATGACATATCCACAGAAACAAGCAGGTGATGGACCCTTCTCCGGAAGTTACACAATGCACCTTTAAGTACCATTTAATGCTACACTGTCAAATATTACTCAAGTAGAACTAAAAGTAGTTTCTCCACCCACATCAAGCTGTAAAACCAACATGATTTACTTGGAAAAACCAGACTACAGAATGACCGGACTTCATGACTCACTGCACTGACTAAAAAAACAGTTTCACTATCGTATCACATTATTACCTTTATCAAACTATATCAAAGGACTCAAATAAAAGTGTGAATGAAACAGGGCTGTAAATTAGTATTATGTTATAGTTATGTCCATTGTCTTCCTTATTGTCAGCTTAATAAAAATGTGAATAATAACAAAAAAAGTATAGAAACTAGATACTCATTTTTCACAGGTATCGTTACAAAAAAAAATCCCATTGACAGGACAGAAATGAAGCTTTTCTGGATGTTTTTAGAATGAGCTGTATCAGAACAAGTACAAGAGCACATAGACTAGTATGTGTACCTACCTGGACCACTGAGGGATTACACACATATAAGACTACAAATAGAAAAGAAAGTACTACCATTTAATGCTAACATTCTAAAGAAAGAATGTTTTTTATTGTCATTATGGTATTAGAATAGGTATTGAGTATCAAGTCTATTTCTTAGTATCAAAATTGAGTTTGAAATGTTAGTATTGTGACTAACTGAAGTATTGTGTACTAGACTGAAATGGTCCAGTCTGACCTCTGTTACTGTGGTTACTTATTCATAAAAACTGCTCAATGATTAGCCTGAAGTCGATATGAGCACGGCATAAGCTTGGGTAGGAAATGTTTTGAGATAAGGGAGTGAAAACTGGGCTAAACCATGAATAAAGCAAGACTAAAGCAGGACTAAACCAGGATTAAAGCAGGAATACAACACGACTACACAGGGACTACACCAGGGCTAAACCAGGACTAAACCAGGAATAAAGCAGGATTAAATCAGCACTAGGCCATGGCTAAATCAGAACTAAACCTAAACCTGGGTTAAACCAGGATTAAACCAGGGTTAAACCAGGGTTAAACCAGGGTTAAACCAGGACTATGCAAGGACTACGCAAGGACTACACATGGACTACACATGGACTACACCCGGACTACATAAGGACTAAAACAGGACTAAAATTGGACTAAACCAGGACTACACAAGGACTACACAAGGACTACACTAGGACTAAACCTGGAATAAAACAGGATTAAATCAGCAATAAACCAGGGCTAAATCAGAAATAAATCTAAACTTGGGCTAAACCAGGACTATGCAAGAACTATACCTGGACTACACCTGGACTACACCAGGACTCAACCAGGACTCAACCAGGACTCAACCAGGACTCAACCAGGACTCAACCAGGACTCAACCAGGACTACACACAGGCTACACCCAGACTACATAAGGACTAAAACAGGACTAAAATTGGACTAAACCAGGAATACACCAGGACTACACCAGGACTAAATCAGGGCTAAATTAGGACTAAACCAGGGAAAAAACTGAATTAAATCAGCACTAAACCAGAGCTAAATCAGAAATAAACTAAAACTAAACTAAACTTGGGCTAAACCAGGACTAAATCACTAAAATGACTATGTGAGAATTACACCTGGACTATAGCTGGACTAAAACAGGACTAAAACAGGACTAAAACAGGACTACGCGAGAACTGGTCCACACCAGAACTACATAAGGACTAAAACCAGGGCTAAAACTGCACTAAATCAGGGCTAAATTAAGACTTAAAAAGGATTTACAAAAAAGGACTAAACTGAGACCACACCAGGACTAAACCTCGGCTAAGTAAGTTAGAGCTAAACCAACATTAAACCAGAAGAAAAACTAGGACTAAACCAGGATTTAACCAGGGCTCTACAAGACAACTACATCAGATCTTAAGTTTAGACTATAATTAAAGCAGAACAGAAACTGGTCTAAACCTAGAAATAATCACATCCAAAATAACACTTCCTTTAACTAAATGTGATTGTTTAGAATGTCTCAGTGATTCTCCTGAAGAGGACGAGCACAGGACACTGACTCATAACGACAGTGCAGACGAGAGGAGACTGCACAGAGGAGCTTTAACAAAGAGATGTTGTGTGGACGAGTCATTAGAGCCCCGGATAAAGACCTGTAGAAAGACTTGATTATGCACCGCAAGAGCATCTTATTAGACTTACTACTTTAAATGCATCTGGGACATTTTCAACTATTACTCTTAGGACAGATAAGGAGACCTACTATGTGTCTGAAGTAAAAGTTAGGCTTGTCACGATCATTTCTGTACTGACTTGACATTCGAATAAAAAAGGTGCACAGTATATTTATCGTCTATTTTTGTTTTCTTATATTTACTCTTAATTTTGTCCAGTGTCTGTTTTCTTTCACTTGTGCAGGTAAATGCTGAAATATCTATAGTCCTGAAAAAGTCTGGATGAGTCCTGGTTGAGTCCTGGTTGAGTCCTGGTTGAGTCCTGGTTGAGTCCTGGTTGAGTCTCAGCCTAGTCCTGGTTCTAATACTACTTTAAGAATCCGTGTATCATTCATTTATTCATTTTTCAAAATAAAACCAAAAATAAGAAAATGAAAAACCACTATTTTTTTCATTATTTGTCTCCAAAACCAAAGTGAAAAAACAGATAATGATTTGTTTTTTCAGTTTTAGATTTTGTGTTTAAATGAATAATGTGAAAAA